GCAGACACAGAGGAATCTCTCCGCTCCAGGATCCGTCGGACACACACGTGAGCACCGCGGGGAAGGAGAGCTCGTATCCCATCATGCACCTGTAGCTCACGCTCGTGCCCCAGGCGAACTCCGACCCCTCCACCTCTCCGTACGAGACGCTGGGAGGAGCAGCGCAGGACACCGCTGGAGGACACAGTCACTGCATTACAACACATCTTTACTTACATGCCACTCAATAATGGGATTATGCAAATTAGTAGCAATGCCACACACACACACACCATTCAAAAGTTTGGGATGGTAAGATTATTGTGAAATAATTCTATGTGAATATATAGTAAAGTGTAATTTATTCCTGTGATCAAAGCTGAATTTATTTAATCAAAAATACAGTAAAGATGCTATTCAATAAAGGAATTTTGCAAATTAGAGTTGTTTGGACAACAAGAAGTAGATGCAATGCCACACACACACACACACACGCACGCACGCACGCAGACACGCACACACACACACACACACACACCATTCAAATGTCCGGGATGGTAAGATTACAAACAGCAATATTGCGAAGAAATGTGTTCTATGTGAATATATAGTAAAGTGCAATTTTATCAATTAATATTCCTAGTAGAGAGTCTCTTCTGCTCACCAAGGCTGTGTTTATTTGATCAAAAATACAGTAAAAACATTGAAATATTATTCTAATGTAAAATATCTGTTTTCTATGTGAATATACAGTAAAGTGTAATTTATTTCTGTGATTAAAGCTGAGTTTTCAGCATCATTACTCCAGTCTTCAGTGTCACATGATCCTTCAGAAATCACTCTAATATGAGGATCTGATGCTCAAGAAACATTTATGATTATTATCAGTGATGAAAACAGTTAATATTTTTGTGGAAACTGTAATATATTTAAATTTTCAGGATTCTTTGATGAATACAAAGTTCAAAAGAACAGCATTTATTCGAAATACAATCTTTTGTAACATTATGAATGTCTGTACTGTCACTTTTGATCAATTTAATGCTTTGTCACATGACAGTTATTGCCCGGTATGCAGATCATTGACCTTTACTGGGGCATGTTGTCACACTATAAATGGCATTAAACAAACTTTTATAGACTTTAAAGCTAAATTTAGTAAAATATTATAAAACACGGAAGCCGTCGGAATACTTTTGTCCCGAGAACATGTTCAATCTTTAAGTTAAAATCTACATTAATGATAGTTAAACTCTTGCCTGAATGTGCGCTAGGTTTATTGTGCTCACTCGTTTATCTGATAGATATTACAAAAAATAAAATAAAAACAATCACAAATGTGAATTTTGATAGTTTAAGACGGTTTCACTATAGGTGTTTGTGCTCACTTGTTATGCAATAGATATTACAAATATATATATATATATTCACAAATGTGAATTTAGACGATTTAAGATGGTTTGTGTTTGTAACCAACATACAAAATTACTACTAGACAAAACATACATTTCCAATGAGCACAAGAGGGAAATACTTATTAGTAAATCTTTATGTAATACATAATCTCATCTATTAATCAATCATATTTCAGATGCACACGTTCAACACGGCGTCTACATTCAGACAACATTGTGTCATTTGCTCCCACTGAGCAGGATTTGAATTCATTCATATTCATTTCATTAATACCCTCATGCAATATATTAACATGATGTTTGGCATCTTACAACATGTCAATATCTGTAAAACACTCAAGAGTTCAAAAACATGTTGGTTTCGACATGTCCCCCAGTGTAAAAGCGTTGGTGCTCGCCGTCCCACATCACACACATCTGACTGAAAACTGAGACTCATTTATCGCACATTTTTATATTAATAATGCAAACCAGATAGAGCTAAATAGAAAACAATCTGCAAATTACACTACAATTTTGTAAGATTTTTTGTCTCTTGTGCTCACCAAGGCTGCATTTATTTGATCAGAAATACAGTAAAAATTGTGAAATATTATTACAATGTAAATCAGCTGTTTTCTATGTGAATATACAGTAAAGTTTAATTTATTCCTGTGATCAAAGCTGTATTTTCAGCATCATTACTCCAGTCTTCAGTGTCACATGATCCTTCAGAAATCACTCTGATTTGCTGCTTAATTAAGATTAAATATATATATTTATAATATACAATTAATTGAAATTACTTTAAAATTGAATTTAAAAGCCACAATTTTTATTTAATTTTTTTATTATTATTATATAAATCTCACGTACCCCACATTTTTGAGTTATCACAGTTTCAACAAAAATCTGAAGCAGTTTTCAACACTGATAATAATCATAAATGTTTCTTGATCATCAAATCATCATATTAGAGTGATTTCTGAAGGATCATGTGACACTGAAGACTGGAGTAATGATGCTGAAAATCACAGGAATAAATTACACTTTACTGTATATTCACATAGAAAACTGCTGATTTACATTATAATAATATTTCACAATTTTTACAGTATTTTTGATCAAATAAACACAGCATTGGTGAGCAGAAGAGCCTTAAAGTTTTCTACCTGAAGTGTAAATGAAACTCCCCCGACACACACACTCCACATCACAGAAGGAGAAACACAACTAAACTTCCCCGTGTCTCGACACTGAAGTCCTGATCTGTATTTTCAGGCTGTTCTGTCCTCTGGCAAAGCTTTAATATTTAGTAGACAGTCTAGAAAGCCCATCGATGAAGAAAGGAAGGTTTTTCTGTCATTTTCTGCCTTGAAGGACTACATTCCTCTTCAGCATCACACAATAAAGCACACACACTGTATTCAAACATCATCGGCGTCAAGCGTGAGTCATGAAGGGCTAAAACACAGGGTTTACAGCAGATTACTCGTGTTCAACGTGCGGAGAGGCTTAAAAGAGGCTGATAAACACTACATTATGAAACTGTGTTTCCAGCTGTTTATGTATATGCATCTATATGGATAGAAGTGTGTATGTGTGTATTTGCATGCATGTATGTATACGTATGTGCGTGCGTATATTTAGGCATGTACGTATAGGGATTAGGGCTGTCAAATGATTAATCGTGATTAATCACATCCAAAATAAAAGTTTTTTTTACATAATATATATGGGTGCATTGTGTATAATTATTTTATATATATAAATACACACACATACTTGTATATATTTAAGAAATATTTTCATGTATATACTGTATATAGATTTATATATAATTTATATTGTATATAAATATAAATATTTTATATATAAATTATATTTTTTTCTTAAATATACATGCATGTGTGTGTATTTATATATATACAAAATAATTATACACAGTGCACCCACATTCTGTTATGATGAGGTGGAAGCAAGGAGGAAGCAGGATCCAATTGCAGCACACATTATTCAATAAACTCAAACTACATAAAGACTCAGGCTAGGGCACAAGACTCAGGAACAGAACCACCAACATCAAGGTTACAACAACAAGAACTCACAAGGACTGGACTGAAACACAGGGCTTAAATACAAGGGCAAACGATCTAAACAGGATAACAAGGGGGCGTGGTTAACGGGAAACACCTGGGAAGACTAATAGACAGACAGGGAACCACTAAACATGACAAGACAAACCCACACCGTGACATAGCCCCCTCCCTATGGGCGGCTCTTGACGCCCATAAAACACCCAAAAGTTCAGGAGGGCGGAGAAGCGGAGGCGGACTTGGGGGAGGGATGGAGGGCCAGGTCCGCGCAGGGAACGGGACCAGGGCCTTGCAATGACGGGCAATGGTTCCATGGAATGTGGGCGGACCTGGGCCATGGAACGTGGGCGGAGCTGGACGTGCAGGCGGCCAGGGCGGAGCAGGCTGTGGGCGTGTCCACGACGGTGCAGGCTGAGGGCGTGACCAGGGCGGAGCAGGCTGTGGACCCTCGGGCATCCAGGGCGGAGCTGTCGGACCCTCGGGCGGCCACGGCGGTGAAGACCCCTCGGGCGGCCACGGCAGAGAAGACCTTTCGGGCGGCCACGGCGGTGAAGACCCTTCGGGCGGCCACGGCGGTGAAGACCCTTCGGGCGGCCAGGGCGGTGAAGACCCTTCGGGCGGCCAGGGCGGTGAAGACCCCTCGGGCGGCCACGGCGGTGAAGACCCCTCGGGCGGCCACGGCGGTGAAGACCCCTCGGGCGGCCATGGTGGCGAAGACCCCTTGGGCGGCCATGGCGATGCAGACCCTTCAGGTGGCCATGGTGGTGAGGACCCTTCGGGCGGCCATGGTGGTGCCCTATGGCCCCCCCCAAAAAAATTCTTGGGGAGAGTGACGGAGTCTGACAATGACTCTAGAATTGAGTCGGGGACAGGCTCTGGAACAGTCTCTGGCTGGGCAAGCGGTGAGGGCTCTTTGCTGGACAGGACCAGTGGCGATGGTTTTGAGCTGGGCAGGACCAGCAGTGGAGAAGGCTTTGAGCTGGGCAGGACCAGCAGTGGAGAAGGCTTTGAGCTGGGCAGGACCAGCGGTGAAGGAAACTCTGGGCTGAACAGGACTGGCGCAGGATCAGCGGGCTCTGGCGCAGGATCAGCGGGCTCTGGCGCAGGATCAGCGGGCTCTGGCTCAAGTGTGTGCGCAGCCCACACACACCACATGGCTCGGACATGTCTTGCCTATTATTATAGGTCTAGCTGTAATTTTTTTTGCTTATTGTGACTCTCTGATTGGTGGAATTTTCCATACAGCATCATGGGTAATGTAGTTTTTCATCACGAATTCCACTGTTACAATTATTTAAAAAATAAGCTGAAATCATGCATTCTGACGGCTTCAACAGACGCAAATATCATCGATATATCATAAACAGAAGAATGTTTTACCGCGTGCTGTTATACATGTCATCCGTCTCTATCTAATCATTCTTTTTGTTTTTGCTCTTCTGACGGTTTTGAGCTTTCTCTTTCTGCAAATTGTATAGTTGTGGTGTATAGCGATATGACCCAGCACCCAAAATACTATCAAAACACTCCATTATTCGCGATAGATGGATAAAAAGGCGCACAGGAAGCAAAACCCTTGAAAAAATAATAAACGACCCGCCAAATCACAGAGATGCCGATTCGCACGGGACTGATATTATCACTCGGTGTTCAGGAAATATGGAAGGTCATTTGCGGGGGAATTTTTACTTCACAAATTACAGAT